CTTCATTATAATACATTATCATACTAAAATCTCCCCATGGGGGTAGGGAGGTGACCAGATACCCTTGACCAAAGAAGGGAAGAAAAGGTGCATAAGCCATGTTGCTGGGAGTCACTGTCCCTTTCCCCAACACCACGTGAGGTGGTCACCACCCCCAGGACTGCTTCAAGCCCCTCATCCCATAAAACTCCCCTTGCCAAATCCTTCAGGAAGAGTGTGTCTTTCCACAACATGGGCTCGCACCTCTCCATTCCCTGATCACAGAATAAAGCTTCTGCTTTGCTAAACTGAACGTGGTTTCATTCCATCGGCTTAAGTGACACTGATCACAGAGACCTTAATTGAGAAGGTCAGTGACAAGAGTAGCAAAATTTACCCTCAGTGGTTCAGCAACTCAGACTAATGAAAAGCCAGCTCTGAAAGACAGGAAGCAGGCTAAGGACAAACCCTTAAAACAATTATCCTACTTTAATATTAAAATGAGCCCACATCTCTCATGTATGATGGTTAGTTTTATGGCTTAGCTAGGATTACTAGTGTCTTGTTAGGACAATTGTTGGAATCCTGCCAACTTAGCCAATTGTACTGTCAGTCTAGGTTAGGGCCCACAGACTCTTCAAACCCATTGCACAGACTAGGTCACAGAGCTCTTATATGCCAGGCTGGGTCACCAAACCCTTCACACGCAGGTCCACAAGCTAAATAATTGGGAAAGATCCCGGAAGCCACTGGCAGATGACACAAACTCAGTCCTCAGCATCCTCAGCATCAGCAGTGGCAGCAGCCTCCCAGAGGGTCCCGAGGGCCCTAGCAGCAACAGCAGCTTGTAGCAACAGCCTCAAGCAGCAGCAGCCTCCCCTGGGGGCATCCCGGGGACAGGGTAGGTTGAGGGTACTGAGGATCAGAGCTGCTCATCCTTTATACTTAAGTCCATAACCCAGGACACCTGGGTGCACATGAGCTATTACATTAGACAATAACCAAGGAACACGTGGGAGCACGTGCCTATTTACATCAAATGCTCGGCAAGATTCTGAACATCTGAGGGGCCCTGACCATTTTCCTATATTTTCCCAACAAACTGGAATGTTTGGGGCCCAGGCATCAGTGTTTAATTGCTCTCCAGATTACACTAATGTGCAGTCAAGTTTGTAATCCACTGCCATAGACCTAGATATTTAACAGCTGGAAGAGATCATTTAGTACAAACCCTTAAATCTCCTGGGAATTTATAGCTACTTTAGCTACCATCGGTCCCCATGACCCAAACCCAGTTTCCACTGTTCCTCCTTAACCTTTACTATGTATTAACAATATGCCCAACTTGTCCCGATTTGCCTGAGATGCTCCAGGTTTTAGCAGTGAAAGTCCCATGTCCCAGGAAAACCGGGACAGTTGGTCACCAGACTAATGTTTTATAGCTCACAGACTGATTATCCTTCTAACACCTAGCATCCAGATATTGGTTTCTAAACACCCATTCTACATTAAAAGAAATGAGAGCTCATTGGAAATGGCCAATTTCAGGACTTGGGCAGGAAAAATGTGCAGTGAGCCTGGCAATATTGTGCCAGAATCTAAGGAAGTACTCAAAGACTAATGGAGGCAAGTCTAAAGAACATGGGAGCCAGCCTGAAGAGACTCTCACTCACCAAACCAGAGAAAATTTGAGCATCAAAAAGAAAATGAACTAAACATAAAACTCTGAATTCAAATAAGAAAGACACTGCATCAAATGATATTTAAAAGGAAGAAAAAAACCTACTTTGCCATCATTGGAAGTAACTATTATATCAACTTCTTTTTGTAAAAATTGGTATTTAAGGGGAAAGAAATAAGCATTTGCCTTGCCCTTTTGGAGGAACTCTAGTTCATACACTACAGAAGAGGAAAAGGTCATCTTTTTTTTTTTTTTTTTAATTTTTTTCTAAAAAGATGACCGGTAAGGGGATCTTAACCCTTGACTTGGTGTTATCAGCACCACACGCAGCCAGTGAGCGAACCGGCCATCCCTATGTGGGATCCGAACCCGGGGCCTTGGTGTTATCAGCACCGCACTCTACCGAGTGAGCCACGGGCCGGCCCGGAAAAGGTCATCTTTACAGAAAGATGTCAGCTAATAAACATAGACTGAATGACAGTATTAGGAAATCACTATTTTGCAACCCCCAATAAAATTAAGTCAGAAAACTTTAAAAACTAAATAAATGACTGAATCAGGAAACAGTAATGGATGGATACCAAAAATCTTTAGGTGAGAGGTTTTTGGGAAACAGGATAATCACACCAAGATTTCTTGTTAATTACAAAGGGAAAATTATATAGGAAGTTCTGAGGGACGTTGCCTTAATCATCACCTTTATACTAAGAGTGGACAACTGGCATTATGTACCTCCTAATGGGATGTGACATGAAGTGCACACCATCACTTTAGTATTCCTGTCAAAAATGTTTTAATCTGGGCCGGTCCGTGGCTCACTCGGTAGAGTGCGGTGCTGATAACACCAAGGCCGCGGATTCGGATCCCATATAGGGATGGCCGGTTAGCTCACTGGTTGAGCGTGGTGCTGACAACACCAAGTCAAGGGTTAAGATCCTTCGGATCCCATATAGGGATGGCCGGTTAGCTCACTGGTTGAGCGTGGTGCTGACAACACCAAGTCAAGGGTTAAGATCCTTCGGATCCCATATAGGGATGGCCGGTTAGCTCACTGGTTGAGCGTGGTGCTGACAACACCAAGTCAAGGGTTAAGATCCCCTTACCGGTCATCTTTTAAAAAAAAAAAAAAAAAAATGTTTTAATCTGAATCTAATCAAGCCACTAGACCTAACTCCAGTTTACAAGAAATCCAGGGCTGTAAGAAGAAATTAAACACCACCATTAGCAAACAAACCAACCTGGTTTGCCTGGGAGTGAGGGGTTTCCCAGGATGCAACATCAGTGCTCAAACCCTGAGGTCCCAGGCAAACCAGGATAGTTGGTCATCCTACAATCAGACAAGTCCATAATGTGGGGCAGATCTGGTCTCCAAAAAGTCAACGCCATGGGAAAAAAAAAAAAAAAAAGGATGTTTATTGTATTGTGTGTGGGGAGGGGGTTATCTATATATTATATACTGTTTTGATAACTTATAAAACCTTTGGCTGGGGAGAGACTGCCCCTCAAAGGGATAGCCAATTCCTAAAGAGCAAGGGCTCAACCAGAAGATGCGTTTCATATATAAACAATCCAACTCATTCAGAGCCATACCTCCTCTATCTGGCCCATACACCCCAGAAGACAATATTCATCTGCCTTAATCATCTCAGGGCCAGGTACCAGACAACTAGGGACTACCCCTATAGCTGAGAGCCCGAAGAAATTATTCAAACTAACCAATCCTGAACTGTTCAACCTGCTCTGTCTTGCCTTTCCCCCAGAAACCCCAATAAAAGCAATGTTCTAACCCTTCACCTCGCTCCTGTTTTCTGCCTCCTGACCACCCTTGTGTGTTTCCTGTGTGGTCCTGCATGGTGTGGCATGCCATGCCTCCTGTTTCTGGGACCTGTGAAAATAACAGACTTTGTTTTCCTGAGCCTCTCTTGTGTCTCCTTTTGCAGCCGTGCCTGACTGATCATCTCATAAAAGAATACAAAGCATTATGCAGTACCTTTAACAGCCATATTTTCCTGAGAAGGAAGCTTCTCTAGAAGTACTTAGGATTAAGTATGAAAAATAGTTAGCCTGGTATTTTGTAGATCAGACATTGCTTGCTAAATTATACATCCTTAGGCCATTTAAAATATTCAAAACAAATTGGTGAGCAAACACCTACAGAGTTGAAGAAATCATAGACTAGAGAATGTTGAATATATAATTTGTAATATCTACTTTATTATAGTACATGTTAAATTATTATAAGTTTTTGGAGCTTTCTGCCTCCATACTACACAGCACAAAATACTCAGTCTCTTTGAAAATCTCTGTTCCCTTAGGGTCTCCCCAATAACCAATTATCCCCCATGGGTGAGGGCTAATTAGTGCTATTGCTCTTAGGGATATCCACATTTTCTTTTTTTTTTTTTTTTTTTTTTTTTTTTTTTTTTTTTTTTTT